TATGTCCAGTTCAACAAGAAAAACAAAGCAGACTGAAGACCGGTTTTTCGGTTGAATCGACCGGGCCAGTCTAGTTGGGTTTGTTTTTTTTACCTTGTTTACCCTTAACATTTCTCTACCATCTCTCTCCCTCTCTAAACCTTCCCTTTTATCTCATAGTGTTCCTCCCCCCATTACCATCATCCCTCCCTCTCCTCTTTCTGCATTGTCTGCCTTCCTCCATTACCCAATTCATCTGTCCCACACTCAACGGCGATGACCGCATCGTCAAAGGAGAGGATCACTTGCTTCTAAAACGGAGACATATCTGACTAGAACGGGACACTTGGAACTGGGTCTTCAACTTCTTGGAGTAGAGTTGTACAACACATTATGTAACAACGGTTTTTTTAATCCAAGTGATTTATCCAAATTATCCAATTTAAACATTATTATGGTAAACTACCATAGTAGGAAAAGGTTCGACTAAATTTTCAATTGCTAACCAAGTTGGAAAAGAATTCAAATAACCATTTAAAAACACTAATTTGTTCATAAAAAGAACTTTTATTAATTCAACACAATAACCATAGTAGAAAAAGAAAAAACTTAATTTCAAAGTGCCTATCATGGTTAAAAGAAAAAAAAAACTCATTCATTATTAACTTACCTATGATAGAAAAGAAAGAAACTAATATTCAAAAACTGTCCTGGATAATAAAGCTATTCTAAATTGATTACAACCAAACAATGATAAACAGAACACTACTCATATAACATGATTATAGAAATCAATCCCTGTGTAACATTAAAACATAACAAATTGGCCTTGGGGTTTTTGAAACCCAAAATATTAATTCAGCAACAAGCCTAAATATATTCTTTCAAAATAATATTCAATCATGGACCGATATCAAAAGTATTCAATATGTCAAGGATATTAGTTTAAAATGTGAATCCACAAGTACCATACAACCCTAACAGCCTCTGGCTAACTACTAGCACGCAATCCCAATATCAAGTTTAATACAAAGTACTATAGTATATTATGGTATGTAAAAATGAGCCCTAATGTGACAGTATACAGATATTCAACACATAATTTAAAGGAGGAGGCTATACACAGTTATAGCACTTTTAAGGCCTCTAGAGCCTTCCCTAATGGATTCACACGAGGACTATCACTTGAAATAGTTATGAACAAAAGGGTGAGACAAAATCCTCAATAACCAACTTTCTAACTCATCACACACACTAATATGTGCTAGTGAGGTGTTAAGTGAGACAATTGGCAATTCTCAAGAAATAAAGATATATCAATAGAATTATAAAGCAGGTTTGCGAAGATAATCTCAATTACCTAAACCCTTACTATGGGGCTAATGTACAAGTCATATAAATCTATCCCTTACTATGCAGGATCAATCAGACATGTAGGCCTATTTCTCATTCTAGGAGACAAATAAGGAGCCATAAGGGCCTATCCCTCACCATGGGGGATGAAAGAAGCTAACCAATGTGCATCAATGATAGCCTTACCATGTGGTAGAACTAGAATCAAGTCAAAATTCAAACAACATCCAATCAATCACAATATAACTAAAAACACATCAATCTTTTGTCAGCATAATCTATAAGATAAAAATCATATGTTATACATTTTTCAAAACTTCTCAATCATAATTCCAAAAATCCCATAAGACAATTATCATAGCTCAAGAGATATAACATATCTCATCAAGTTCTAAATAGCATATCATTATTTTAAGACAATCTCATGCTCAAACCTGTAATCTAATAACTAATCTTAGGGCAAACTACCTTAATGGCTTAATGGGCCCAAGGCTCAATTTGCATATTTCCCCTTTCTTTTACTTTTCTTTAACATAATAATAATTCATTTCACTTTTATTTTCATTTCTATCTCCCATTATTATTACTACTACTACTTTATAATCTCTTTTATTTCTATAAATTATATTTTTAAGTAAATCTCTTTATTCAGAAAATTACATGATATACTATAAAATAATTTCATTAAACTGAAATCGATATTAAATATTTACTATGTAATACTTCTCTTTATAAAAATAATTTGATGCCTGGAAAAAAAATATAAGACTCCATTTGTTTTGAATAGTATTTTTGCATATTTTTAATCACATTCTGTTCTCTTCTAAATTCTATGTTTCCAAACTTCAAATAAAAATTTTAATATATTCTAAAACTCAAGTTAATTAATAAATCCAATCATAACATAATTAAATTTCATAAATAAAAATATGGGAAGTTATACGTTCCATGGTAGGGGATTGACAGAGAAAAGCAAGGTTAGTCATACTCGGATATGGCTTGATGGCAGAGGGAAATGACAAATTGATTGTAGTTGCGAAGTTGGAGGTCCAACTTTTGGATGTCCAAGAGGATTCCGAAGGTTGGTGAATGTCTTCGTGAGGATATCAAGTTCTTACCAGATGATTTCCAAGATCCTATGTTTGAATGTTGATCTCTTCATGAAACTAGGTCCATTACTGGTTGTGGCTTTAATTTTTGTCTGTAATTTGACTATAATTAACAAAAAAAATATGTTCCCCATCGTCAAAGGAGGTGCCGGAACTGAGGATGAATTTATTGCTTGTGCTTGTAATTGAGGGGCATTCTAGATTTTTTTTAGTTTTTAAACTATAAAAAATAATTTTTTTCACCCAATCTTCTTAATAACATACCAATCATATTTATGGTAATTAATATTCCAGTACATCCTTTTACAGTGCATTGCATTATCCTAGGCCAAGATTCAGGAATTGAGCTAAACGGGCACTTAGTTCCTTGTAACTATATTTTGTTGTATCTTGGTTGACTTTTGTCTCAAAGATACATTATTGACTTGCAATGTATTTATGGTGGACCAAAAAATACTATAGGAGAAAATATAACAAGAGAAATAAAGGCTATAATATTCTAATTCCACGGGACATTGTTATGCCTTTTGATTCAACAAAATTATGCCTTCCGATTCATCTCCCCCCCCCCCCCTGTTTTAATGATATACAGAAGGTAGTTATTAATAATACTATCTTTGGCAATGATTATGAACAAAAGTCCAAGGTTTATTTAATGACATGATGGATTCTATAAAATTTAAATATGGTCTATGATATATTTATTTTATCATTTTTAAATTTAAGTCAGAATTTATTTCTAAAAAAATTAAAGAAAAACTATCCGAAATTTAGAAGTTGTCTTTAATTTTTTATAAGAAAAACTAGAATACGTCATATATAAAAGCATCTCTTAAATACATCATTTCATATGTTTAACAATTATTTGTAAGCTGCATTATGAAAGTTTATTGTCACAACTATACATCTCACACACCTATACTAGGACCATTCAATAAACTTATTTGTATATTTTGATTCATTTTTGCCGTGAAAACCAATTTCTAGCAGTATTAGTTTTCATGCATGGACACTGTATGTCGCGATTGTATATGTTTGAAAATACTGATTTTGAATGATGGACACCCACTAACAAAATCTTCAGTATTGTTTACAAAGATTTTTAATAATCTTATGTCTTAAGAAAATACATGAAATTTAGCTGGTATTTCATCTTTATTCTATCTTGCATGTTGAATAAAAGACCCACACCATAGCTGTCTAACCCTATGTCTTATGAAAGCCCTGGAAATCAAGGCCCACAAACAACCATTAATCAAACTAAGGAGCATTTGGTCGCGACCAAAATCTCTCACTTATCCAGATTTTTGTTATCAAATTTTCTGAGCTTCAAGTCTTCAGTTCTAGCAAAGAAATTGATTTTGTTATTTAACATAAAATACAAACTAGATCAAGTGGTATCCCACTAAATGGTTTTATTGAATGCGGCCACTATTTTAGAAAAAAAAATCCACAACAAAAGCAATTTATTTACTAAAAAAATTAATGAAAAAATATAGGAGTAAAGAAAAGAATTTACATATGATTTTTATTAACTAAAAAAAAACTTATGATCATATACCAAAAAAATACTTTGAAAGGTTTGTTTTGGGAAAAAAAAAATCGCATACGAATTGTTTATATCAAAACCATATAAGTTATATGAAGAGATAACTACTAGGATAAGAACGCCTAGAGGTGAAACAAAAGACTTTCCTATTAAGATCGACCTATATCAGGGATCTTCGCGGATAGCATAGTCCTCATGACTGAATCAAAAAAAGAGATTAACTCTGGATTGAAATTATGAAGAACGACCCTGGAGTCGAAAGATTTTCACATGAAAGATTAAATCATTCCTCGAATGTCAAAATTCAAATATCTAAAATCCATTATACATGAGAATGGTAAAATTGATGGGAACGATTCTCATAGAATACAAACTGATCGGCTAAAATGAACAAAACCTACAAAAATTATTTGCTATAAGAAAGTACCTGAAAAGCTTAAGGAAAATATTTATTAGACTGTTATAAGATCAGCTATGTTGTATGGTATTAAATGTTGAGTGATAAAGAAAACACGAGCATAAAATTATGGTGGTAAAAATAAAGATGTTAAGATGAATGTATAATTATACAAGAAAAGATAAGATTCAAAATAAAAATATCAAAACAAGAGTAGATACAACACCTCTCGAAATGAAAATGCTTGAGCATTACTTAAAGTGATTTGAACATGTGCAAAAAAAAACCCTTAGACACCTCGATAAAAAAAAGTAGATCGAAAGTGTAGAGTCTATTTAAAAAAGCATAGGAAGACTTAAAAAAAAAAAAAACACTCAATAAGGTCATTTCCTTCTCATCAATAACATACCTAAAGATTTGGTTATTGATAGAAAATAATGACATCGTGCAATTCATGTGACCAACCCTACTAATGGAATAAGACTTGTTGTAGAACAAACATCTTTTATATGTGCGGGTGAGTATCATTTTTAAAACGCAAGTGGATAGTCACTCAACATCGAACCACCGTAGCAAATCATATTAAACAATCTTCAAGTACTTTACCCTCAGCTTTGCTTAAGAACTCGTAATAATAATGCCAAAATAAGTCCTATATTTTTTTAGGCAAGTAACATGGTGATTTTGATATCCTTAAATAGGTCCCAGCAATCCTACAACAAAATACCGAAGCAACACAGGAACAAGTTAATTTAATATCTACAGAGATCAAATGTGCTTCCAATATCAAAAAATAAAAATTTAATTAAAAAAGGAGAGGAAAAGTGCTTCAACCTTCAAGGCTGTCATTTTGGCAAGACAACCAAATATGAACGATCACGCGGCTTTCATATAAAAGCAGTTCGCCCGCCTCTTCTGCTATGCCTGTCGTATGCAGTATTGAATTTGTCGACCAGCTCATTCATTGCACTATGGCCAAAAATAAAAAGAAAAAAGAAAAAACAAAATGAATCATTCATGGATAATATACGACTGGGAAACACAAGCCAAATCTGCAGTGTGTGTGTGGGGGGGGGGGGCGGATTACTTCCTTCAAATGGCTAAAATTTTCCTCCCTCTCTTCTTTAGTTGGGGCCTTTTGTTGGGCGAATGAGTTCTAGTCATTTGAGTCTCTAGTTCTTATTAAATCTCTGTAAGGCCATCTCAATCCTTAAATAGTTGGGGCAAAATTGAATAAAACAATTTTCCAATTATCATTAAGCTAGTTCTTGTACTAATTTTAAAGAATGTTTGCAAACGAATTAAAGTGCAAATTTGTCTTGGAAGTTTTCACCTAACAGCACTGCACACTCAGAAGTTTTTTTTTGGATGAGATATGCTCTAGAAGTTTAAAATGGTAACAATTTTGCCCTTTATTGTTCAAAATATTAATTGGCAATGTCACTATTCTAACAGTTAATGTTAGTTTTCCAATGGAAGGGGTAAAATTGCTACGATTTTAAACTTCAAGACAAATTTGCACTAAAAGAAACTTGTCTAATGCTCCTGATTGAAAACTTCGAGGACAGATTTGCATCTTAACCCATTGTAAATATATTAAAAGAGCTAGACAATATTAAAAAAGCAAAGCGCTAATTGCTAACATCATACCTTGAGCAGTTAGTCATCATGGCAAGGTACGTAATTAACAAGGTATCATTGTATTCCTACAAAGGCAAAAAAACAAAAAACAACACAAATCAGACATTGCGATCTAAAGACTGTAAAACAAGCACTAAAAAATTTAATTAAGCCTCTGAGTTTAAAAACTAAAAATAATTAACCATACAGCCCTGCTTGTAATAGTAACACAAAGTCGCACTGCGTTCATCATAGATTCTATAATTAAATTTAATGAAGCCCAATTGATTGATGCATTCTCCCTCAACAAATTGTGTCTCCAGTATGTCAATTCAGTTTGTACAAATGCTTCGGCAAATTCTAGGTTCCATAAAGCTTCCTACTTCAATTCCTTTGGTTATTGCCAGCAAGAAATCAATTTTCAAATCACCCAGGTTTAACTGTTCTTTAGCTCTAACCGGAGAGGAATCCATCAACAATATACCATAAACTTCTTCCAAATGGACCCTGAAGTAATTAAACAACTAATTCTCCACTTCTTACAAAGGCAGCCAATGTTTTCTCCTCCTTTTTTTTTTTCGATTTCCACTTTATACAAAAATATAAGAAAAAAACAGGGAAAGAGAAGAGAAAACAGATATGTCATCCAGTTCCAAGGAGAGGAACATACCATCAAGAAATCATCTTGGAATTTCCCAGATTCAATAGCTGGCAATCTTCTCAGGAGACTCGATACTTGTCTTAGCAGAGAATTGTCACAAGGGACTTCACCTGCTTTGTGAAAAATAACGCGTTAAACAAAGTTATTTCAGAATATTTCGATCCACAGCCTATGAACATGAGAAACGAAACAACATTGAACTGTTGCTTCAGATAGATTGACAGCAAAATAGACGCATGAAAAACAACAGTACACTATGAAAAAGCATGCTTCACAGTACGTAATGCACTCCAAAGTTTCTCATTGGTAATTTTTTATCTGATATGATTTAAAACATTTTAAAAACACACTAGTATATTTTTAAACTCTCAAACAGCACAACAGCTTATGGACAATCATAGTGATATGAATGGGCATCAACATCGACATGGTTTGAATTGAAATCAATGGTTCTAATCAGCATTATGCTTTTATTATTAGCTTGTTTTCAACATTTTACGTTCAATATGTTTTTAAGCAATCAAACAGTAACATCACTTTATTATTATTTCAATTAGAAGAATTTAGCTACACATAACTAAAAAACAACACACGTTAGGGGGGAAATCATTTCCAATTCCTCCATGGCATCATCAATATACCCTATCACCATGAAGAAGGGGCTAAGTTAGCTTTCCAATTTAAGGAGGGTAAGAAATTTTGACATGCTCTTCAACACAAGTTATCCTTCACTTTCCACACTCAAAATGGTGAACAAGCTAAAGCAGCAAAGTGAAGCTTAGGATACTAAGAAGCCTAGTGGGAGATAAAGCTAATAACTCGGGCCAAGTCCTCCCAACAACTGAGTTAGCCAATGATAATTCAACAAAAGTCTACAGGAAAAAGCCCTTCTAGATTGTCCAAGACTTTGCCCTTCGCTAGACTGTTGTCCACATGCCCATTCCTTTGACATCTTGTGCTGTGAGTCTTAAATCTACCAAATCATTAGCTTAATTACTATGAACAAAAATTTCATTCCCCTACGTCGTCTCTTCTCCCTCCTCTTTCTCCCTTTGTATTCCCACAAAATTTGTGAAAATTTCAGGAGTAGAATGAATGAATTTTCAGGTTGTTTTCTTTCATTAGAAAAAACTCCAAGGAAAATATATCTCGTGGTTAAGGAGATGGCTGTACCTTTCTGCATTGCAAGCAGATAATGGTGCAGCACCTTAATTCTGCTATGCAGCATTTTAATAGCACTGTGTATACCAGTAAGGTGAGCTGCCACTGCAAAAATGCCATATTATATATAGCACAACAGAGATCAGAGACCAGGGATCGTTTCCCTTCAATGAAAACAGGCTTAATGAAAGGCATTCAGTCGAAGAAAAATGGCAAGAGTCAATTAAAAACACTCACATTGTGTAGCAGCTGAACCGCCGTCTGAGGGCTTAAGATGCGCAACATGATCAACTGAAATCCGTTCTGCTTCAACAGTCTTCAAAAGAGAGTGGATTTTTTTAGGGGAAGGGGGTAGAAGCCAACTTGATTATTTATTGGGTATAAGTAATTAGAAAGGTGCAAGAAAGAAGTAAAGTCAGGAAAGCCCAACCTCAATAGTGTAGCTTGAGCGAACAAAGATCAGTTGTGGAATCCCATCTATTACATGCAGTTCTTCAATTGAAATAAAAAGCACCCACAAAAAAGAAGAGGACTCAGAGGCTCATCATGATAAGAATGTGAAAAGAGAGGTTACAGAGAGATGCAAAAAGTGTGGAAAGCATGGGGATAATCCTTTACATAAATGAAGCTTTCTATGATTTTACGCATTATTTATTTCTGAAAACAGAATGAAGTTAGTTAAGAATATTCTTATGTGTTACATTCCCCTTACCAATGAAGGTTAGGATCAGATTTTATTTTAATGTCTACATCTAGGGTCGAAAACAATATTCTACAGACCCAGATCCTTGTAAATAAAAGGCATCCTCCATTCATTTTTTTTTTTGGGGGGGGGGGGGGGTGTGGCAGGAATAAAAGAACAGTGTCAAGGGAAAGCATAAATTGGCTGAACCAGAGAGGTTGGGGAAGAAGCGGAAGCTGCTACCGGGAACATCAAAATCCAATACTTAATTGGGACGGTGTGAACAGGAACTGATAGATAATGAAGAAAATGCTGGTAGGGTTTGGGGACTTCAAGTGAGTATGGCCCCTAAAAGATCAAAGAAATTATCTTTCCTTAATATTCTGCCCTCTAAAATGACCTGTTTCTACAGGAATCTATAAGAGGAAATCCGGGTTTCCATGAGGATGTTACAAAATACATATACCAGAATTTGAAAATATCATCACACTAAAGGAAACAACAATGCAGGTTACATACCACTTTCAAAAATACTGACAGGAAGATCCTTCTGAGCATGGTTGATTGAAGGATTCAGAAGTACATACACTGGACTTTCATTAATATCCATCAACTGTTACAGCAAGATATACACTATACCATAAGATACCGGAAGAAATTGAATACACAAAACTAAAAATGATCCAGAGAAACAATATGAATTTTAAGCCTGAAGTAGGAAATCTTCATCAACAAGAGACAATAACAAAGAAAAATGCTATGGAAGATAAATTCAACAATTTGGACTGACATTTCATGATAATATAATACTAACCAAAAATCACAAAAGCCATAGCGGCAAATAAATCCATACCAAAGAACATAACAACGGAACTACAAAAAAGAAACTCAAAGCATAACTTCAAAATTAGCTACGTTGTAATTACCCAAGAATACTAAGAGTTATGTACCTAAACTGTAGCAACCAAAAGATGAATATGCAGACAATTGGGTAGAAAGCTTCACAATGTCATAGTGAGTTACAAAGATGCAGCATAATCAGTGTTGGCATATCACCCATTCAATATATTTTAGGGCTGTTGGCTATTCGGTCTCTATTGGGCCATGGGCCATGTAGATGTGCAAATCTGTGTGATTCTTTCTTTTAAATTTCTGTTTATTAGAGAGATAGATCATGATTCCTTTCCTGATATATCTTAGGATTTGATTTAGACTCCTAGAATCTTGGCCTGATCCTAGTATCTCGCATAATCCCTAAAATCTCAGCCTAATCACCTCATTCATGGAGGGAATTGTATCTATTTAAGTCTACTATTCTATTCGAATAATAAACAACTTCAAAATCATTAGATTCTTCATGGTATCAGAGCAGAGATGATCCGGTTTGGAATGGGCTTCAACAATGATAGCCAAAACAACCCTAAGGTTTCCGTAAACAGCCAATCAGGGTCAATGGCAACAGCGACTGGTTCTACTAGCCACCAGAATTCGATCGGATTGATGGCAACAGCAACTGGTTCTACCAGCCACCAAAACCGATCAAGTCAAGCCCTACATCCATCACAATTCATCAGCTCAACGGTGAAAATTACATGCAATGGTCATCTAGTGCTCAGTTATATATTATGGGCAAAGACAAATATAGATACTTGATTGGTTCTGTCCAGAAACCAGCCGAAGGTGATGAAAAGTATCCTACCTGGGAAGCTGAAAATTCCATAGTGCAAGCCTGGCTAATAAACTCCATGACAACTGAAATCAGTGCTCACTTGCACATTTTTGCCATTCTAGAATAGAAAGATTTCTTCATGATTTCAAGAAAAGGAAGTCTTTCTATAACTCAGTACTACACTAACCTAGTCATTCAATGGCAACAGCAGGACATGTATGAATCCTATGATTGGAAGTGCACAGGAGATGCAACTCTCTATGCAAAGATAAAAGAAGAGAAAAGGGTCTTTAAGTTCCTACTAGAATTGGATGACAGCTTTGAAGAAGTCTGAGGAAGAATAATGGGACTCGACACATTGCCACCTTTAAGGGAAGTATTCTTCATTGTTAGGAATGAAGAAAGTAGGAAAAGACTTACTTCCACTGAATTGAAGAATGAACCAAGTCAACCGAATACTCGTGTCAAAAGGGAGTCCTCAAGATGACTCCAGAAAACAGAGCAAGTGGTGCAACCATTGCAGAAAAAGAGGCCAAACCAGAGGTGTGTTGGAAACTACATGGGAAACCTTTGAAAAAGGGGAGACAGGATGGCCAAGGCTTTGTTGGAACAACTGATAACAAGAATGAACCTGAATTGAGCAAAGAAGAACTGAATCTACTCAGAAAAATCCTAGAAAAACATGATGCCCAGGGAACAACCCTTGCTGCAGGCTATGTTGCCCACACAGGTAAAACTATATCAGCACTAAAAGCTGACATACATCATTCAAGACTCTGGATTGTGGATTCAGGTGCAACAAATCATATGACTGGGAACCCCAGAAATAATTCTGCATAATGTCTTTTATACCCCTGGATTGAAATGCAGTCTGCTTTTTGTAATTACTATTACTCAATTAGAATTGTGATGTTCATTTCACTGCTGCTCAATGTGTTTTTCAGGATCTGAAGCAAGGGAAGATGATTGGCATAGCTAAGATCCTAGAAGACCTCTATTGTTTGGAAGTTCAAGAGAATCAACACAAGGGAAATATCATCAATTCTGTGACATATTCCTTTTCTTTTTCCACTACTTCAGATAATAAAGATGCTTTGTTATGGCATTATAAACTAGGGCATCCTCATTTTCATTATTTGTCTAAATTATTTCCTCAATTTTCAAATAAGAATGATTTATCCTTCATGTGTGAAGTCTATCAGCTCTCGAAACAAACCACAGCAACTTATAAACCTCACTCATATCAATACACAAAGCCTTTTAATCTCATTCACAGTAACATATGGGGGCCATCTCGCCTACCTTCTCTCGCTCATGCTAAATGGTTTGTTACATTCATTGATGATCACACACGACTTACCTGGGTGTTCTTAATGAAAGAAAAATCTGACCTACCCGCTACTTTCATCAAATTTCACATAATGATCCTATCTCAATTTCAAACTCAAATTCTTACCCTGAGGAGTTATAATGGACGAGAGTTCATGTGCCAAACCCGACAGAAACACCTTTAGGAACACGGAATTGTTCATCAAATCAGCTGTGTTGACACCCCACAGCAAAATGGGACTGCTGAACGCAAGAACCGTCACTTATTAGAGGTTACCAGATCTCTTATGTTTACTGTTCGAAGTGGACCCAATAAAGGCCCAATTACAGCAAACCCTAGCTTAATTAGTAACTACCAGTAATTATATTTTTAATATCTGCATAGTTTTAGGGATTTGTTAAATTTTTATCTGATTTATTAACCTATCATTACCCTAGATTAGATTTGATCAGATTCGATCAAACCCTTTGTTCCCTCTATATGTATCGATCGGTTCCATGAAATAAAATAAGAGTTCAGCGCCAAACTCTGTCATGGTATCAGAGCAATCATGACCTTCAAAGCGACGCTGATGGGTACTCCACAAGCCTTCACTGCCAGCGGTCCAAAAAACTCATCCTTGGCCGCGACTGGCGATGGCTCAAACAGCGAGACCAGTTCTGCAGTGAACCAACCCTCGAACAATCTTCATCTCTGAGTTCAGCGTCGGATTCACTATCTCAAATCACCATCTCCCACAGACTCAATGGGAACAACTACCTACAATGGTCCAGGAATGTACTTATGTTTATTTGAGGACGACACAAGGAGAAATATCTCACGTGGGATCCCAAACCACCATCAACCAAGGATTCCCAATTCGATACATGGCGGGCTGAAGACAAATTGGTAATGACCCGGTTAGTGCATTCCATGACTCCAAAAATCAACAAGAATTATCTGCTTCCTAGTCATGAAATCTGGGAGTCTGCCAGGCGAACGTACTCAGTCAAGGAAAATTCAGCTGCTATAATTCAGGCCAAACGACTCCTACATAGTCTGGTTCAGGGGGAGCAAACCGTGACCCAGTACTTCAGTGCACTCATGCGACTCTGGTTGCAGATTGATCTGTATGATGTTCATCAATGGACTTCTCACACCGATGAATCATACTACAAACAAGTGGTTGATCGGGATCGCTGCTATGATTTTCTACTGGGCCTTAACGACACCTATGAGGATATATGAGGTAGAATTATGAGTATAAAGCCTCTCCCTTCGCTTGAAGAAGCCTTTAATATGGTTAAAAACAAGGAGAGTCATAAGGCATTGCTCCAATTAACACCTCGAGCTCTACCTTCCGCTGATGCCTCAGCCATGGTCATCCGTGGCAATCTTGAGAATGAACCTAGAGGAAAGAAATTTCTAAGGTGTGACCATTGCAATAAAAATGGCCATACACGAGAAACCTGCTGGAAGATTCATGGAAAACCAGCTCATCCTAGACACCGAACAAAAGGGGACAAGGACAGTAAAGGTATGACAATGAGCACATGCAAGACGGTGAGTTTTGAACCAGGAAGAGGTTTCCATTCTCCGGAAAATCCTAGACAAATATACCCAGGATAAAACAAGTGATAAAACGACTCCTCAAGTCACTCTAGCACATGCAGGTATGATTTTCTTGGCTACTCACAAAATAAAGAACACTTGGGTGGTTGACTCTGGAGCCACAGATCATATAACCGGATTTCATGAATTATTCTCTGACTTTAAGCCCTATTATGAATACTCCCGAGTTCAAGTGGCCAATGATACAGATGCAAAGGTCATCTCCACATTGTTATTACTCATAACTATTACTATATAATGTCCTTTTGTACTAGTGTTTTACTATTGTTAAAAGTGTCACCTGAAAAATTCACGTGCAATATTTGACAAATTTCAAACTAAGGATTTTCAGGACTTACTTGGGGAGGGTGACTGGAAGCTAAGGTGTCATGGTACTATCTGAGGCGACTCGAAGACTTTCAAGTGGTTGATGCCTCATGATGACATAATGCTATGGCATTCTAGGTTAGGCTATCCAAATTTTAGTTACATGAAAATTCTATTTCCCAACTCCATCAATAAAGATTTTTAGTTTCATTGTGATACTTGTCATCGAGCAAAGCAACACTCGCTCAACTTATTTGCCAACTCCTTACATACCTACACATCCTTTTGCCCTAATTCACAGTGATGTTTGGGGTCCATCTAGAATTGAAATATTTCTAATGCAAAATGGTTTGTTACATTCATTGATGTTCATACTCACCTAACATGAATATTTTTAATGAAAGAAAAATCAGAAGTCTTCTGTATCTTCAAGAACTTTCATGCTTTTATTCAAAACCAATTTCAAACTTCAATAAAAATTCTTCAAAGTGATAATGGCAAAAACTATATTTATATGGATTTTCAAAAATTTCTTACTGAAAAGGAATCACCATCAAACTTCTGTGTGCATACACCACAACAAAATGGTGTAGCAGAACGGAAAAATAGACACCGTTTAAGAAGTGACAAGGGCTCTTTTGATTGATAAAAATGTTCCTACCAAAATTTTGGGGAGATGCTATTCTTACTTCTGCGT